AGCAAGCATGTGAGTGCAGGTATCTTTTTTTGTAGAATGATTTGAATTCCTCTGGGTAGATGCCCAGTAGGGGGATTGCTGGGTCATATAATTTCCTTCTATATAATAAAAGAAGAATCAACTCATTTTTTGAAAATGTGGACGTGAGAAAGGCTGATTAGGCATTTCACACACATAAAAAATATATCCAAAATGATCAAAACCTTATGAAAGTGTTCTCAACTGTATTGGTCACCAAATAAATAAAAACTGAACCCACCATAAAGTATTGCTACACATAACAGGGTAGCTGAGATAAAACAAAGAAAAACTTGAAGAGTTTGATGATGTAGAACAATGGAACACTCAGACACACTTAATGGGAAATTGGAAAAATGCTTGGGTATATTACATGAAGTCAAGCAAATGCATGCCACGTCCCACAGCAATTACTAGTCTTATACCAACAACAATGCCCCTCTGTGCTCACCCATTGGCACGTATTCAGATATTCAGAGCAGTAGTGTTTACAAAAGCCTCAACTTGGAGCTAAATAAATGCCTGTCAGCACTGGGATGAATAAACACATTGTGATTAATCACACAGTAGAACACTATAGATCCATGAGAATCGATGGTCTACAACTATATGCATGTTTGTGGATAAATCTTACAAACACTTTGTTGAGCAAAAGAAGCAAGACACACACAAAAAGACCATAGGGCATTTTCACATTTGTGTAGAACACTGCATTCACAACATTTAATCTATGCTGTTAGGATTAGATAGTCAGAGTAGTCATTACTCTTGGAGAGAAGCTATGAGAAAGCATAATAAATCAATTGGGGTGGTGTGACTTGGGCATGCTCAATTTGTGAATATTCATCAAGCTGTCCCTCTGATATGTGCATTTTTGTCTATTATACTTTAATAAAAATAGACACCCACCCACCCACCAAGACACATCCTAATAAAACTGCTGAAACCCAAAGACAAAAATCTTAAAAACATTGAAAGAAAACGATCACATTCTTTTCAAAGGAGCAACAATAAGCTTTGTAACAGAAGTGATTGATTCCAGCAACAATGGGATGGCATATTTAAGGTGCTGAAGGAAAACAACTTGGAAGTTGTTTACCTGGAATTCTGGAACAACAGAAAACACCCCTCAAAATTGGAGGTGAGATAATCACACCTCAGGTGATGGAAAACTATTGGTCACCCACAGATGGGTACCAAAAGAGCAAAAGGATTAGGTGGGTGGAAAATAATCCCCCTGGAAACAGAGAAATGTGGGAGGAGATGAAGAGTAACAGAAAAAGGCAAATATTTGGAGGAAAATGGAAATTTTGAATGATGATTTCATTGTTAAACTACAAAAACATTGGTGCAAGTTTGCTGTGTGATGACATTCCAAAACTTGTTTTGAAAACTATACTTTAGCCGGGCTCGGTGGCTCAGCCTGTAATCCCGCGCCTTTGGGAGGCTGAGGTGAGTGGATTGCCTGAGCCCGCGGGTTCAAGACCCGCCTGGGCAGCGAGACCTTATCTCTACAATAAATCAAAAAATCGGCCGGGCGTGGTAGCACATGCCTGTAATTCTGGCTACTTGGAACGCTGAGGCGGAAGGATCACTGGAGCCCAGCAGGTCGAGGCTGTGGTGGCCGGAAGCGGCCACTGCAATCCAGTCTGGGTGACAGAGTGAGACTTCAACCCCCCCCAAAAAAGAAAACTATATTTTGAAATAAAGTTAAAAATGACAGGATACATATATACAAACACACATAAATATATGTGAAATGATGTTATATAGACAAAAATATAAGGGGAATTTGAGTACAAGATTTTGGTTGGTCACTTTAGGAGAGGGGGGAGGGGGATACTGGGGTGCACTGCACAAGTGGGCATGGCTTTAATTCTCTGATTTCCCTGAAGGATGTTGATTTCACAGCAGATTTTTTTTTTTCTACATGTTCTGTTCAATTTTATTTAAACTGACCTTGAAAATCTACCAGTGCTATACTGGCAATGGCTTAACAATCAGCATTTGCCAATTTCTCTGGTGTAAATACACCATGACTTTGATATGAGCTTTACATTTGGTAGAACCAGACTGCGTCCTCTTTGGGTAGGAGGATTGGAACAGAGATATGATTGTAGTCAGGCACTAACTAGGGATGAGTCTTGCCTAATATTATTGCTTTGGGTCTCAGGAAAAAAAAAAAATTCAACCAATCAATCAATCGGAAATCTATGTTCCTTCATCAGCCCAACCCCAGGAAGATCAAAAACCTATACAGAGAGGGTAGGGAAAAACTGTTCATTTTTATGTGTGCAGTTTTAACTTGTAAACATTTGAACTGTGATGCTGGTGCCTGGCACACCACATCCTGTGAATTTTTCAGTTTTGTTCAACTCCTGACTCAGGTATAACAGAAGCATTTTCATATTACCCACATTCAATGCCTGTTATGTCTCTGTCAATTCTGGAAGGGGAGAGAGGAGGAGGTTAGTGTGGAAATTCCTGTCTGAAAGATCTGGCCTCTCCACAGTAGGGTTGGAAATGTGAGCTGGTGGGGAGCTAAGTCCTTCCACCATTGGAGCCCAGGCTGGGCTATCAAGGCTAACATCCAAGAGGAAGCCACTGGAAGGTCAAAATGCAAATGGAGATGCCCAGGCAGGTGGTGTGTGCTGGTAGTCCCAGCTCCATGGCAGGCTGAGAAAGGAGGATCACCTGAGACCAGGAGGTTGGATCTGCAGTGAGCTGTGATCATGCCACTGCAATGCACTCCAGTTTGGATAACAGAGTGAGACTCTGACTCAAAAAAAAAAAAAATCCTGATCTTCGTTCTAGGATTCCATTAGGGACAGAAGACAAAGACACAGGTGAGTGACTCCCCGCTACTTTTTTGGTTGAATAAAAAAGATTTTTTTAAGGTGGATAAGGTGAAACACAGAAAAGTGAGCTAACACGGGTGGTGAGGGGGAAGGCTTTACAGTTGAGCCTTCTGGAAATGGCAAGAATTGGAGACCCCTGGGCATCCTAGACTCAGATTCTGCAGACATTCCCTTTTGGCTGAGCCAAGCTAGGGATGTTCAGAAACTGGTGTCTTTGAGACTGACTTAGATGGGAAGGAATGACCTAGGGACCCAGGGTTTAGCTTGAGGTCTGCAGTCTGTCCAAGAGATCCAAGTTGGAAATCATTATGGTGATCAGGTATCAGGAAGAAGACTGGCCAGGAGCAATGGCTATGCCTGTCATCCCAGTACTTTGGGAGGCCAAGCCAGGAAAATTGCTTGAGTTCAGGAGTTTGAGATCTGCCTTGGTAACATGGCAAAATCTCGCTTCTATTTAAAAAAAATTGGCTGGGCCTGGTGGCTCAAGCCTGTAATCCTAGCACTTTGGGAGCCGAGGTGAGAGGATTGCCTGAGTCCAGGGGTTTGAGACCAGCCTGGGCAACTTGGTGAGACCTCGTCTCTACAATTAACTGAAAAATTACCTGGGGATAGTGGTATGCACCTGTAGTTCCAGCTACTTGGAAAGCTGAAGTGGAAGGATCGCCTGAGCCCACTGGGTTGATGCTGGGGTGGCTGTGAGCATGCCACTGCACTCTAGCCAGGTGACAGAGTGAGATTCTGACTAAAAAAAAAAAATTAACTGGGCATGATTATGCATGCCTGTAGTCTCAGCTACTTGAGAGGCTGAGGAGGGAGGATCACCTGAGCCCAGGAGTCTGGAGCTGCAGTGAGCTGTGATTCTGCCACTGCACTTCATCATGGGCAACAGAGTGAGACCTCAACTCAAAAAAATAAGAATAAAAAAAGTCCCAACTGGGTGCAGTGGTTCATGCCTGTAATCTCAGCACTTTGGGAGGCTGAGGTAGGATGATTACTTGATCCCAGGGGTTTGAGACCAGCTTGGGCAACACAGTGAGACTCTGTCTCTCCAGAAAAAAAAAAGAAAAAAAAAAAGAAAAAATTAAATTACATAAAAATAATAAAAATAACAGTAGTGGGATTGCTGGATCATACGGTAGTCCTATTTTTAATTTTTTGAGGAAGCTCCATGCTGTTTTTCACAGCAATTGCATCATTCCCACAGCAGTATGCAAGGTGTCCAATTTCTCCACATCCTCAACCAACACTGTCTTTTTTTTTTTTTTAAGTAACATCCATCCATAGTAGGCAGCGATCCCAGCAGATCTTCCCTGAAGCAGTTTGGTGTGGATCTCCTCGGGCCGGGTTGGGATGAGCTACCCGTCCCAGAGGCCGTGGCAGCGGCGGCGGCGACGGGAGCGCTGGCGTGGGGAGGGGCTGCGGCGGCGGCGGGACCGTGCAATGCAGTAAAACTGTCCAGTCGTTGCGATGTTCCAGCGGTGGCGATGGCCGAGCTCTGTCTGAAGAGCAGGTGCAATGCTGGGGTCCCCAGCCCCCCCGGGTGAGAGTCAGAGACCCACTGCAGATCTCCCTTGCAAAGGGCTTCAGACGCCGGGTTGCCCGGCCGCCATCTTGCCCACACATTTGTGTAGGCTATTTTTAATGTGTGAAATACCTTGTTGGGATTTTAATAAAGATCATAATATTAGAAACGTGGAGAAAGGTTTTATGACTTTGCTTTTAAATACTGGGAAACGTCACTTCAGGCATCGTAACATCTTGCCCAAGAACGGATGGTTGTTATTTGTGGAACTGGGATGGCGTCTGAGTCACCATATTGCACAACCCCATTCTGCCTTGTCCCATGGATGCTGAGCCAGGCTAACACGTCAGAAGATGAGTGCAGTCTCATCTGAGCACGTGGGTAACATTTTTCAGAAACCAAGGCCCTCCTCCCTCTTGTCTCATTAATGGTAAGAGCAGAGAGAACAGTAGAGACAGAGCTTCCCCTTTGCATGAGGTAGTTGATGTAGAAACCCCATGACAGGAGGCCCAGCCAATACATCCTGTTCCCTTGCATCTGCTGTGGAGTTCTCTCCTCTCTCCAGTGTGCTCCAGGCCAGGCAGAGCACTGGGACCTGGACCATGTCCCCCCACCCTGCCATCCTCCTGGGCCTAGGTGAGTCCTGGAAGGAGCAGGGAGGATTCAAGAGACAGAGGGTATGGAGAGGCTTGAGAAAGTTTCCTGCTCAGGCCTGACTCCAGTCCAGAAGATTCTGGGGCTCTGGCGGGGGGAGGTGATCCCCCAACAGGTTGCCTCTGGACCTAAGTCTGACACAGACAACTCAGTCCTAGAAATTGGGGCCCAGTTGTGGGGATGAGGCCACCTTGAAGAAGGGCTGAAGGAACCGGGTGTCAGCTTACATCTGTGATCCCAGCACTTTGGGAGGTGAAGGCAGGAGGATTGCTTGAGCCCAGGAGTTCAAGATCAGCCTGGACAACAGAGTGAAACCCCGTCCTCTGTAAAATATAATAAAAATAAAAGAAGTGTTGGGAGGAGGGGAGATATCCCATTTGGAAGAAGAGACTTGAAGATTTTATCTTGAAACTACTCAGCAAGAAGGAGGATTATACTCAGATTTTAATGTGGGGGAGGGATGGTTTGGTAATTGTGGGATGCTGAACATTCGTCAGCTCCAAGGCCCTCTTGATAGCAGCCCTGTGAGGACACTCAGCAGTGGGTATTTTTCTCACTGGGATTTCTCTTACAGTGCTCTGCCTGGCCCAGCTGATCCACATGAAGTACGGTGAGTCACCTCTTCCTGGTTCCTTCTGTACTCCAAGGGCAGCTGTGAATGGGAGGGTATTGATCCTAGGAGAGCCTGGAGGGGTGCCCGTAAATATACCCTGAATTGTAATCCACCCTGACCTCTCTCCCCATTCTTAATGTCTTTTGTTTTTCTTATTTTTTTTAACATTTATTTTATTTTATTTTTAAGTTGGAGTCTCACTCTGTTGCCCAGGCTGGAGTGCAGTGGCACACTCATGGCCACCCCAGCGTCAACCTGCTGGACGCCAGCGATCCCTCCACCTCAGCCTTCCAAGAAGCTGGAACTACAGACATGTGCCACCATGCCTGGCTAATATATATATATAATTTTTTAAAATTTATTGTAGAGACGAGGTCTCACCAAGTTGCCTGGGCTGGTCTCAAACCTGTGGGCTCAGGCAATCCACTGGCCTCGGCCTCCCAAAGTGCTGGGATGACTGGCTGAGCCATCAAAACTGGCCTAAAATTTATTTTATTTTAAAGGTGTGGGGTACAATTCAGGATTAGGTACATTTCTCTTATTTTTTGAAATTTTATTTTTAATTGACAAATAATTTTATGTGTTTATGGGGTACAAAGTGATGTGTGTTTTGCTTTTTGTTTTATTTTATTTTAGAGTTGTGGGGTACAAGTGTAGATTTACTACATAAGTAGGTTGCATTGCAGGTGAAGTTTGGGCTTCTGGCTGGCCCTCTCTCCCTTGGTAATGAACCAGGTGCCCAGTGTGTTGCCAGCAACGTGATGTTTTGATAGATGTTTATGCCGTAGAAGGATTAAACAAAGTGAACTAACATATTCGTCACTTCGCATGCTTACCATTTTTTTGGTGTGTGGTGAGAACATTTAAAATGTACTCTTAGCAATTTTGGAATATGTGATGCATAATTATTAATTATAGTCATCCCACCGTGTAATTGATCTAAAAAATGTTTCTTCCTGTTTAACGGAAACTTCGTATCCTTGACCAACATCTTATTTCCTGCCTCTGATAATCATCGTTCCGCTCTCTGCTTCTGTGAATTCAACTTTTTTAGATTCCACAACTAAGTGAGATTACGTAGTATTTGTCTTTCTTTGCCTGGCTTGTTTCACTTGGCATAACGTCCTCTGGGTCTATCCATGCTGTTACAAAATGACAGGGTTTCCTTCTTTTAAAAGGCTGAGAAGTGTTTCACTGTGTATATGTGCCACATTTTGTTTGTTCATTCCTCTGCTGATGGACACAGACTGATTCCACGTCTTGGCTTTTGTGAATGGTGCTTAAGGAACACAGGAGTACTGGCATCTTCTTGACACACTGATTTCCACAAAGATGATTCAAATCCAGCATGATCAAGGCTAAGCCCAAGAGTTTTCCTACATAAACCCAGATCTCACGCAGCAGTTCCTTGGCAGGGGATATGACCCAAAGGGCAGAATTTGAGGCTTTATTTTAACCCCATCTTCTCCATACCCCAAAGCAATATATCACCCTAAATTTTTCTCATCTTTCCCTTTCTCTTTATACAAAAAGGGGACCCCCCCAAACCCTGCATTGTCTTTTGGAAGGCGGGCCTCTTGTAGGTCAGTGTTCTAGGAGCCCATCTTCATCAGTGTACCAGCTAATGTTGTGAGAAGCTGTGTGCTGGAAGAAACATCCTGAGCTGTGGCAAGCTGGTGACTGGTTCTTCCACCATAACAATGTACCTCCCCACACCACATTGAGAGTTCAACAGTTTTTGACCAAAAGCAACATGACTCCCACACTCCACCCTTCCTATTCACCTAATCTCACCAGAGTGAGATTCTTCTTTTGTTTCTCTGGATAAAAAGGTCCTTAGAGGGAAATGTTTTGCCAATATGGAAGAGGTGAAACAAAAAACAACAGAAGCACTAAAAGGCATCAAAATGCATGAGTTCAAAAACTGTTTTGAGCAGTGGGGAAAGTATCTTAATAGGTGTATTGTATCAAACAGAGAGTACTTGGAAGGTGACTGAAGTTTAAACATGTAAGAATAAACACAATTTTTTGTGCGGGATGCATTTTTATTTTAGTTTAGTTTAATTTTTTGTTTTGAAGATGTGTGGTACAATTCAGGGTTAGGTATGCAAATATTCATCATGCAGGTATCCTTGTTGATGAGGTGTGCCCCTCCCTCCCCTGGCAGTTTTCCTCAACTGTCAATACCATCCCCTCTCCCCTGGCAGTTTCCCACTACTGCCAATCACCTTGTCATAGTATTATGATAATTGTTCAAGGTCTGCTTATGAGTGAGAACATGTGGTACTCAGTTCTTTGTTTCTGAATACACAACTTTTTTTTTGAGTTGGAGTCTCACTCTGTCGCCCAGACTGGAGTGCAGTGATTTTTTGATTTATTGTAGAGATGAGGTCTCGCTGCCCAGGTGGGTCTCGAACCTGTGGGCTCATGCAATCCACTCACCTCAGCCTCCCAAAGATGCGGGATTACAGGCTGAGCCACTGAGCCCGGCTCACAATTTTTTAATGAATAAATTCTGGGCTTTTTTGGGTCCCCCTTGTACTTCTCCTAACTTGGCTTAAGGGACTGCACCTCTGGGTTCCTGTTGACTCTGGTGCCCCTCCCTTCTTGACACCAGGCAGATTGTCATTTGAATTGCAAAAGCAAAATATGTCCATCATACTTTCCACAATTTAAAATTGTTATTTGGAATTTTTTTCACTTTCTATTTTAAGATAAAATAATTATTTTTCTTTGGAGCCCTTCCACTATTTATTTGCAGGCAGAGTCAGGCCTCTGCATCTCTCTTTAGTCTGGTTGTGTTTATTTTCCCAACCACATTCTGTCCCTATATCTTCTGTTCATGTATCTTTAGATTCCTTGACTTTCACTTTTCAAACACATCATATTCTGTTCAACTCTGGGTCTTATTGCATGTTGACTTTTAAAAATTAATTAATTTGGCTGGGCACAGTGGCTCATGCCTATAATCCCAGCACTTTGGGAGCCCAAGACAGGAGGATCACTAGATCCCAGGAGTTTGAGACCAACCTGGGCAACATAGTGAGTCTCTGTTTCTAAAAAACAAAACAAAACAAAACAAAACATTAGCCAGGTAGCGCCTCTGCAATCCCAGCTACTCAGGAGGCGAAAGGATCACCTGCGCCCAGGAGGTCAAGGCTGTGCTGATCCATGATCATGCCACTGCATTTCAGCCTGGGTGATAGAGTGAGACCTCAATTCCAAAAAGTTTTAGTTAATTAAAAATCGGCAAATAAAAATTGCATATATTTACTGTGCACAGTGTGTTTTGAAATATGTATGAAGTGTGGAACAGCTAAATTGAGCTAATTAGCCAGTGAATTATTTTACATACAAATAATTTATTGTGATCAGAACACCTAAAACTTATTCAATTACTTAGCAAGATACATATGTGTGTATATATATTTTTTTCTCCAAGAAAAGAATACATTGTTGTTACCAATATACTGTACATTAGCTCTCTTGAGTTGCCTAACTAAAATTTTGTATCCTTTGAGCCACATTCATATGCACAAAGATTTTTTCCACTTTTATTTTATTTTTGTTTGTTTTTTTGGAGTTGAGGTCTCCAGGCTGGAGTGCAGTGGCATGCTCACAACTCACTGCAGCCTCATTCTTCTGGGTCTCCTGGGTAGCTGGAACTACAGGCACGTGCCACCATGTCCAGCTAATTAAAAAAAATTTTTTTTTAGTTGAGATGGGTCTTGCTATATTGCGCAGGTTGGTCTTAATCTCCTGGGTTCAAGTAATTCTCCTGCCTTGGCTTCCCAAAGTGCTGAGATTGCAGGTGTGAGCTGGTTAGTTTTTTTTTTTTTTAATGTCCTGGTGTTCCCTGCCTGCTCAGTTAATTAACACTTGTCTCAGCTCAGATGAGGTCCCATTCCCAAATGAGGTCACCTTCATCTCCCATCAGTCCCCCTAGACCCCTGCATTAACCCAGAAGACACGCAGCACAGTTCGTAGATGCAGATTTACACAATGATTGGGTCAACATGGATCTCCCTTCTAGATTTTCACCTCTAGGGGCAGGGAGCCTGTATGTGTTTCTCATATTTGTGGAACTAATGGAATGGAATAGTAGGGAACTAAGACACGGTGGAAAAAATTTAAAACAATGAACAAATGGGGTATATGGGTGTTGGGGAAATGTTGGTCAAACGATACAACATTTGAGTTAGTCAATAGGAATCAGTTTAGGAGATCTGTTGTGCCACACAGTAACTAAAGTTAGTAACAATGTGTCACATGTTTGAAAATTCTTGAGAGAGCACATTTCAAACATTATCACCACAAAAAATAAGTCCATGAAGTAATACATATATTGATTAGCTTGAATCAGCCATTCCACAATGTATACCAATATTAAACCATCCTGTTGTACACATATATACAATTTTTATTTGTGAATAAAAACAATGATGAAAGAATGAGTGAATTGAACCCCTGCCTGCTAACTGTGACAAACCTTCCTATTTTGGGACTTCAAACTCATTCTTCCTCTTCCACTCCCAGCCCAATTGAGACAAATGGGGATTTTTCAAGAGCCTTAATAATAAGGAATTGCAAATTAGGCTGACATGAATATAGGAAATACAGAAGAAAACCAAGGTGGCTGTCAACAGAAGACTTTTCATTAGAAATGGAGATCTGCCTGGTCTGGACATCTGTTGATCCACTCCCACCCTCACTGGACTCTCACAAGAGCCTGGCAATCCCTCCCACCAGTCTCACTGGGGACTGGCCAGTTGCCCCCAGACTCCAATGTGAATCATCTCTAGAATCTTCAATTCTCTGTACCTCACAAACAATCCAGTAACCGCTCATCCCCTGTCCTGTGCTCCCACCTCTGACCCTCTGTATGTTGGTCTGGGCAAGAAGAGATCTTGGGTCTGTAGTGGACACGAAGGACCCCAGTTGCTCAGATACTCCCCGGGCCACCCCGAGCAAGTCTCAGGATTCTTAACTGGGAAAATAACTCTGCAGTGATGAAATGTACATAGAATAGGCAGGAGCTTCCAAAGTTGGATTGTGATCATGGTCACACAATTGGCTGAAAACATTGAGTTTTGACTCCAAAGTGAATTGTGCATGGTGGCGATTTCTTCACAGTGGACCCTAAGACATTACTCTGCTTCCCTCTTAGAGGTCCTGCTCACACCCTCCATCTCTGCTGAGCCACACTTTGTGATCCCCCGGGGAAAGTCTGTGACCTTCGTGTGCCAGGGCCCGGCCCAGGTTAAGTTATTCCGTCTGGAGAAGGAGGGAAGAGAAAATAATTACAGAGATGCTGAAAATGAGTCTCAAGTTGGCTCATCTTATGCAGAGGCCAGATTCTCTATCGACTCAGTAACTGAAAAAAATGCTGGACGTTATCGCTGTGTCTATCATATGTCTGGCAAGTGGTCAGAGTACAGTGACCACCTGGAGCTGATTGTGACAGGTAAGGACATCACTTGGACCCCCACCCTAGTCTCAGCTCTGCCTCAGTTTTGACCCAAAGTCCCTGGACCCTGTCCTTGCTGTCTCATCAGTCTTCAGCCCTCCTGGCCTACTCCTGATCCCCCCCAAGCCCTCTCCTCCCACTGCACACACATCCTTCTGCCCTCACACAATCTTGGGTCCCTGGTCTCCTCTGGGCACCATGGGTGGCCTGGATACTCAGTCCCAGCATCAGGTGGACATGGAGCTGGCCCTGCTGAACTGAGTGGGGAGTGGATTCCCGGAGATTGGGTGGGGGACAGCAGAACTCTTTCAAGGGAACGATGGATGTGATGCCCCCTATTCCTTTTTATTGAGCCAAACCTGCCATGACCCCAGATGATGTGTCCTTTTTGGAGAGGTATACCAACCCCTGGAAAGATCACAGGGCCAGGGATGGCAGGTGGGACCAAGGGTCAAAGACACGGGGTAAGCTTGGAGAGGAGCAATGCTTTGTTCCATACAGAGCCCCCCTCAGACCTCCTCTCCCAAGCTACTTTGGGGAACCTTTGAGATGAGACCATCTGGCCTCTGTGTGTGGTCCTTGAGTCAGGGTCTAGGGTGGAGCCTCTGTCCACCTCCATGTCCTCCTGTGATGACCTTGTGAGGTCAAGCAGGGCATGGTGGTGGGAGGAGCAGGGAGAATGACCAGCCCTCAGCAGAGTGGCATGGGAAGGGTGGGCTTTCCCATGTCTTTTGCCCCCCTGTCCCATTTCCTCAGGAGTCTCAGAACACTGCCCAGGCCTGAGGGATGGGCAGGTGCAGTCTGTGGATGGATGTTCAGGGTATAGGAGGGCCTGGCTGGGTGGGACAGGCTCTAAACAACTCCCTCGTTACCTCTCAACCCTTCCCCTGACTCCATTTATAGAAATCTCTGAAGATTTTAGCTCCCCTTGCACAGAGCCCAGCCATGGTGAGTAGCATCTCCAGTTGGAGGGATTTTCAGGGTGGGAGTGGGGATTCTGTGCTGGGACAAGGTTCTGGCACCTGGCTTTCTTCACTGGGCTTGGAGTCAAGGACTAGGAAGACCACTGGAAGGGACTGACATCCATCTGTTGCTGGGATGCCACATATTTTCATAAAGACCATAATAACAATACTAGTGTGGTTAAAACACCATTCCATGCCAGGTACTGTTGGAAGCACTGAATGCCAACAACAACCCTGTGAGAGAGGTACCAGTCTGACTCTCTAACTCTCCCCTCCCCACTTTTTGTTGAGTTGGAATCTCACTCGGTTGCCCAGGCTGGAGTGCAGTGGCATGATCAGGGCTCACAGCAGCCTCAACTTCCTGGGTTCAGGCAATCCTCCTGCCTCAGCCTTCTGAGTAGCTGGGACTCTGGGCACCACCACGTCTGGCTTTTTTTTTTTTTTTGGACATGGGTGTTTCACTATGTTGCCTAGGCTGGTCTTGAACTCCAGGGCTCAAGTGTTTCTCCTGCCTTGGCCTCCAAAATGCTGGGTCTGCCCTCCTCTCCCTTTTTAATATGAAATCCCCCCCCCCCCCAAAGAAAAGAGGGTGAAGTGTTTTTGCTCAAAGACACAAGGCTATGAAGAGGCAGGGACAGACTCAGGCCAGAAGGGACACACTCTAAACCTCAGGGTGTGCCGAGTTCCATGCTATGGGCGTGGCCTGACTACTTACCATTCTGTGCCACTAATGGAGTGACTTAGAACTCATCTTCCAGCCTGAGACATGGTGGGAAGGAAGGGGACATTCTTGCAGGTCGTGCCTGAAAAATGACATAAGGATCTTTGACCGGAAGAGGCCTCAGGCAGAACATGTAGCCCATGACAGGTGACAGGGTGAAGTCTTGAGCCTTTCCTGCCAGTTGGCTCTGCCCTGGACTCTGTGAGGAGAGCAAAGCAGCCTCCAGACCCTGGGTCTTGAGTTGTTCAGCTGCCCCTGTGGTCTGTGACCAGAACCAGAGGGGACGGGGTCATAAGCCATCTGGGGATCCTTCCTCATCACGTTCACATTTCCAGAGTGGTCCTCCTTATACCTGGACCCCAGTACTGCCTGTGAGGCTAGGACAGCCCCGGCATTCGGGCAGGAGCCAGGGGGTAAAGCCATGGGGGGGGTGTGGAAGGCTGGAGAGGAGGCTCAATACAGACCTCCTTGGGGGCCCCTGAGCCTGAAGGGACACAGCCTGAGGTCTGGAGTGTGTCCCTTCTGGCCTGGGTCTGTTCCAGTCCCTTCATAGCCCTGTACCTTTGAGGAACAACACAGTTATTTGGTATTATTATTATATTAAAAAGTGCATCTGAGTCCAGCAGACCTGGGTGAAGATCCAAACTCTGGTTTTTATTAGCCATCTAATGAGAGATTTGAAATATCTTTCACTCCTTCCTCTGTCCCTCAATTCCTCCCTCTCCTCCTCCTCCTCTTTCTCCTCTTCTCTTCTTTCTTTTCTTTTCTCTTCTCTCCTCTTCTCTTCTTCTCTTTTCTCCTCTTTCCTCCCCTCCTCTCCCCTTCCCTTCCCCTTTGCCTTTCCTCTTCTCTTCTCTTCCCCTCTATTCTTTCTGCCCCTCCCTGTCTGCCTCCCCCTTTCCTCTCTCCCTTCCTACTCTCCTCTCCTCCCCTCTTCTCTTCTGTTCTTTCTCTCTCCCCTTCCCTTCTGTCTCTCTTTCTCTCTCTCTTCCTTCTCATCTCTCTTTCCTTTCGGCTCTCCTTCCTCCTCCTCCTGCCCTTTTTTTCTCCTGCCCCCTTCTCCTCTCTCTCCCTGTCTTTCTCTCCCTTCCCACTTCTCTTTCTCCTCTTCCTCCTCCTCATTTTTGTCCTCCTCCTTCTCTCTCTCCCTCCCTCCATCCCTCTTTCTCCACCTTCCTTTCCTCCTCTTCCCTCTCCTCCTCCTTCTCTCTCTCCCTTTCCCTTCCTCCCTTTCCTCTTCTTTCCTCCTACCACTCTATCTCTCTCTCCCTTCCTCCCTTTTTCTCTCTTTCTCTTCTTTGCCCCTCTCCTCTCACATTTTTCATGCTGTGAAGTAGAAAGTACAGACTCTGTGTCCAGATTGCTGGGCTCTTGGTTCAGTTCTGGGGTCCTGTCACCTCCCAGCTCTGTGCCTGTGGGTGACGCACACAAAACTTCCCTGTCCCAAGCTCTCCATGTTCAAAATGGACAATAACAATACTCATCTTGTAGAATTTTTAATGTGATCCATGGACTCATTGACACACAATGTTGAAATCAGTGCCTACCAATTAGGAAAACCCAGAGAAGTGATGCTCATACTAACACTTGAACATGTAGGTCTGGAGGTGCTGCTGGCTTGGTACACAGGATGAAGAGGAGAGATGGTCTCTGTCCTCACAAGGGGGAGAAGTAGTCAGAAGGAGCAATGGAGATGCATGTGTGTCTATACTTGCATTCACTGATATATGATTCACAACAAAAAATTTCAGATCGGTGATTTAAATCATGTTAAATTATAGCTTCACATTATGTATTAAATCTTTAAGAAATATAATTATATAATAAAAATATGCTCATGTGTCACTACATGTGACTATAGTGTACATTATATACTATATAATATATATTAATATGTCATCTTTAGGATATATAATACATTTCAGATATTTCTATAATTAACATATAAATACAAACTTATAAAAAGATATGAATGTAAATATATACCATAGATTATATATAAATTATGTGTAATTATACATGATAGTGTGTATGTACTATATAAATAATTTTAAATTATAGATAATTTTAATTTTTTTTTGAATTTATTGTAGAGACAAGGTCTCATCAAGCTTCCTGGGCTGGTCTCAAACTGGTGGGTTCAGACAGTCCACTCACCTCAACCTCCCAAAGTGCTGAGGTGACAAGCTGAGCCACTGAGGCAGCCTGATAATTTTAATTTTAATTACCTATATATGTTGCATTATGTGTACATAAGCTAAAATCACATAATTCAAATACACTTATATTTGTTATATTTTATATATTTATATAACATATGATACATATTATAAATAATGTCATATAATAAGTGATACAGATTATAAGTAAGTATAGTTTACACGTGCATAATACACACATGGCTTTAAACTGTAGCAAGTGTCATAAAGGTAGAGCACTGGAAGTCATGATGAGGACACATATGATATCTTGGACCTTGGACTGTGGACAAGATGAGGTAGGGACACCCCAAGAGGGAAATTTTCTGCCTTTCTTGAAGGATATTGATGGGAGGGGGCATGCTCCTCAGGCTTGAGGGAGCCTGCAAGACCTCGTCTGGTCACTTGTGAGGTGGGCAGAGGAGGTTCCACCCCCATGGGGGGCTGCTTGAGGAGCAAATGAGCTCAGAGATGGGGTTTCCTACACTTGGGTGGGAACTCAGAAGAGGTCTCTGCAAAGGTCTGCAGAGGATGGAGAGCAGTGATGTCCAAAACAGTTTTTCATGGAAGAAATGCCCTATATCTGTGCGGTCCAGTAGGGATGTCATTTGCCACGGGTGGCCACTGAGCCCTTGAGACACAGCCAGTATGACTGGCTTTTCATTTCACTTGAGTTTGGCTAAATTTAAACAAATCAATAGTTGTGGGTGTGTACCATACTGGACAGCAGAGTACTCCCATCCTTAGACAAGATTCTACTAGGCAGTGCTGGTCTACAAGGAGCAGGTCAGGGTCCTGGGGCCCATGAGGGTGGAAAGCAGTGATGCCCAACATAGCTCCTGTAAGGGAAACATGCATATCCAGCAAAGGGAGATTCCTGTGGGGAGAAAGGAAGGGGGACTCAGAGCCTCCTCCATCCAGTTCAGACCTCTGACTCCATCTCCTCTTGATTTCTCCTTCCCAGAAACTAAACAGGGGCCTTCAGATGACAGTAATGATGGCGGTGAGGGGACACAGGAGCGTGAGCCTGGTGCGTGCCTCTTGGAGAGGGGGAAGGAGATAGGGCTTTGGGACTGGTCAGGTTCCAGCCCTGTCACTGGTTAGCTGTGTCCCTGGGCAGAGAATGTTAGCATTCAGGACCCTGGTTGTGTAAAATGGGGACAATTGTGCAGGACTATTATGCACCTGAGAGATTTCATATATTAGCATGTCCATGATAGGCATGCAGTATGTGTGTGGCATACAGTAGGTGCTCAATGCATGCATGCTGCTGAAAATCCATTTCCATTTACCTAGGCACACCTGCTTCCCTTGGCCTGAGGAAGGAGTATCTTTATATTCTCACTGGGGTCTTTGTGATCTTTCTCCTTTGTCTTCTCCTCCTGGTCATCTTCCTCTATCACAAGAGAAAAAAAAAACAGGGTAAGTCTCAGAGGGAGGGTGGGTGCTTTGGGAGGCTGTCAGGCGGTGCTGAGAAGAAGGCCTCTCTCTTTAATTTGGACCCTGACTGTCCTCAGGGCTCCCCAGCAGCAAGGATGCCAAGCAGAGGCCACAGCAGAGGTGAGTTCCCTCAGAATGACCCCGGGACCCTTGCCTAGTCCTCTGCCTCCAGGCAACCCCTAATGATCATTTATATTTTCCTCCCAGGCCCAGCCCAGCTGTTGATGTCCTGGAGAGGACAGCAGGTAAAGAAGGAGCAGGAGGGACAGGCCTGGAGAGGCGATGTGGTGTCAGTCAGGATGCAGTGGTGGGAAGAGAGTACCTGGGAACTTTTTCTTTCTTTCTTTCTATCTATCTATCTATCTATCTTTCTTTCTTTCTTTCTTTCTTTCTTTCTTTCTTTCTTTCTTTCTTTCTTTCTTTCTTTCTTTCTTTCTTTCTATCTTTCCTTCCTTCCTTCCTTCCTTCCTTCCTTCCTTCCTTCCTTCCTTCCTTCCTTCCTTCCTTCCTTCCTTCCTTTCTTTCGTTCTTTCTTTCGTGTTGGAGTCTCACTCTGTCGCCCAGACTGGAGTGCAGGAGCACACTCATGGTCACCTCAACCTGCTGGGCTGAGACGATTCTTCCGCCTCAGCCTTCCAAATGCCTGGGAAATTTCTAGGAGGGAGTAGCTTGTGTGCAGGATATTAATCTGTTAGGTTTTAGGCAGATTTGCCTTGTGAAGTCCACCTTAGAGAACTGACCATGTGTCTTCTCCCCTAGTTGTGGCCTCCATCGATGAACTTCCTGAGAAGGACAGAGAGACGGACACCTCGGTCAGTCTTTGTACCAGTTATTGCTTGCTGCGTAACAAAGTACCCCAAATTTAGCAGCTTAGAAAATCATCTTAATTTATTGTATCAGAATTCAAGCGTGGCATAGCTGGAGGATTCTGGCTCATAGTCCCTCCTGAAGCTGCTGTCAAAGGGTCAACCAGGGTCGCATCTATCTGAAGGCATCCCTGGGGTGGATGACCCTCTTCCAGGATGGCCAACCCCCACTGCTGTGGGCAGGGGGCCACATGGTATGACTCCATACCATGTGGGCCTCTCCACGGGTGCCAGCCTCCTCCAGAGGGAGGGCTCCAAGAGAGGGAAGGGCAGAAGCCACAGGGTCCTTTGTGGCCTCACCTTGGAAGCCGTGTGTCTTCACTTTGGCCTTATTCTGTTGGTCACAAGGACCAACCCTGACACCGTGTGGGAGGGACCACACAATGATGCAATTTCAGGAAGGGGTACTCTTGAGGGCCCTTGAGGTGGCTACCACAGTCCTCAACTCCCACAGCCCCCTACTCACACCCTATGCCAGGGACTTACTCATCCTAGGTGTCTCTCTCCCAGGCCCCTGCTGCAGGGGACACCCAGGAGGTGACATATGCACAGCTGGACCACTGGGCCCTCACGCAGAGGACAGCCCATGCTGTGTCCCCACAGTCCATGGAGCCTATGGTGGAGTACAGCACATATGCAGCTGTAGCCAGACATTGACCCCACCTGGGACCTGCACCTGAGGACACAGGAAACTATACCTGAAAGAACCTGAAGCAACCCTTTGAAGGGTTTCCCCTGAAATCGTTCTGGTCTGGGAAGCCAGCAAGTCAGTTCTCCTGGAGACAAGAGCTGGTGCCTGGGGGTCTGTAATCAGAATCTAGAAGGTTCATGAACCAGGTGACTTCTTCCACTGTTGACCAGCTCCTTGGACTGACTGTATTGCAGCTGCTTCCAGAGACCCAGCTACAGCTACCTGACTGTTTCTAGAGACCAAATTATAGCCACCTGGCTATTTCTAGGGATTCAGCTGCAGTCATCTGGCAGTTTCCAGAGACCCATCTCCAGCTGCCTGGCTATTTCCAGAGACCCAGCTACAGTGATTTCTAGAGACCCAGGTATAGTCCTGGTGGTTTCCAGAGACCCAACTATAGTCACCTGACTGTTTTTAGAGATCCAGCTATAGTTACCTGGTGGTTTCCAGAGGTGGGAACCAGCTACATTTACCTGGTTGTTTTCAGAAGTCCAACTACAGTTACCTGGTTATTTCCAGAGGCCCAGCTACAGTCACCTGACTGTTTCCAGAGGCCCAGCTACAGTCACTGGGCTGTTTCCAGAGCCCAGCTACAGCCACCTGGATGATTTCATGAAGTGTTGCAGTTCCCCAACTGGTTCTTATGTCTTTTGTGAATCCTCATCTGCCCATGAGACACTTTCATAATTATCTGGTCAACTGACCCTGAAGACTTTCCCAGAGTTCAGCTGCTGATCTCGAGTCTGCAGTATTCCTGTGTAGCTGCGAGCTGAGCCCCGTTCTTTGGACCATGCTTTACTTTGTGCATTCATAAACAGCTTTAGAGACCTAACATTCAGCATTCCTGCTCCGGGTCCTGGGTGCTCAGGTCCCTCATGCCCACCTCTGTCTTCATAGTTGCTCAAAGTCGAGTAGGGGGAACAAGAACTACAAAAGAGATGCCAGTGTTTTCTTTTAAAAATTTAGTTGGCCAAGAGAATATATATTCAAGGTGCACAATGGGATGATTTGTTGTACATCTATGGCACATTGTGCAGTGAGGGCCACAATTGAATGAATTAGGCAGCCATGACCATCCAGGTTGCACGTTAGGTCCCCTGGACTTGTCCATCAGAGGACTCAGTGTTGGGGTCAGTGTTTTCTGAAGGAGCGTGTGTGAGTCAGGGATGGATGAGGGAGGCGAGTGGGAGGAGGTGTGGCTGGGTGAAGGCAGAGCTGACCCTGCGTACCCACACCTGCACACACACACATAGGCATGCTCTCACATACACTAGCATGCCCTCACACATGTACACGGGCACACACACATTCACACTCCAAAAGAGAATCCCTGGTCACCGTTGTGGGACACGTTATCTATGTCTTCACCTCACTTGTGGAGTCAGATGGGCTCTCTCCATGCAGATTTAGAGCAGAAATTATCCTTTGAGCCACTAGGGAGAGAGAATGTCTCATTTGGGTTAATTCAAACAAGCCTGACATGGAGACTCACATGGACATGTCTTCTGGTAAGACCCAGCCAGGGCAGAACTATACATATGAACAGATAACAAAACATTACCCTGCATACTCCATAAATACATCCGGTTATTACCTGTCAATTTAAGTAGAAGAATATAAAAAACCCACAAGAAAACAAACAAAAAACAAGAGAAGAAACTGCATACCCATTACAAGGAGAGTATATATATTATTCATACATTATTTACTGAGCTTTACTTTTCTGCTTGTTCTCAAGTTTAATTTCTTCTAGGGATCAGCTTCCTAACACCATAGTCTTTATCTTTGCCTTCTTCTGTTACATCATGATGATTTTTTTCTGTTATTTATGTGAGTTTCTCTCTCTCTGTATCTGTCTCTACATCTCTTTCTCTTTTCTCTTTGGTTGTTTTAATAGACATACATACACACATATATGAAGAAGGATAAAAAACCCCAGAATTATCTTTTGGTGGGTGAGCCCCTTGCAGTAAAGACTTCCCCCACTAAGTAAGTGTTCTAGGAACCCAACAACATTAGTGAGCCAGCTAATGTTGTTGTGAGAGGCTGCATTTCACTTCAGTGAATTTTTTTTTTTTTTAGATTTGCCCATTTGCTAATAGGTGATTTACGAACGAACGTATCTGCCGGCACAATGCTGAGTGTTCATCAGTTTTTGACCAAAAACAGCATGACCACTGTGTCCCACCCTCCCTATTCACCTGATCTCACCCCAAACAACTCTTTTTGTTGTTGTTGTTTCCTCGGTTGAAATAATCCTCAAAGGGAAATGTTTTGCCAATGTGAAAGAGGTGAAACAAAAAAACCGCAGAGTCACTAAAAAGCATAAGAAATCACATATTCCGGCGGGGCTCAGTGACTCAGCCTGTCATTCCAGCACTTTGGGAGGCCAAGGCGAGTGGATTGCCCTGAGCCCACAGTTTCGAGACCAGCCCAGGCAACTTGGCAAGACCTTGTCTCTACAATAAATAAAAAATTAATTGGGCACGGTAGCACGCAACTATAGTTCCGACTACTTGGAAGGCTGAGGCAGAAGGATCACTGGAGCCCAGCAGGTCGACACTGGGGTGATTGTGAACAGTTCAAAAACTGTTTTGAGCAGTAGAAAAAAAAGTCTCAATAGATATATTGCATCAAATGGAGAGTGACATGAAGGTGAAGTTTCAAGCATGTAGGAATAAACACACAATTTTTATAAAGGTTTATCCTAGTACTATAACAAGAGGATTGGCAGTAGTGGGACACTGCCAGGGAAGGGAGGGGGGAGCACATAACATCAACAAGGGTACACAAACTTTACCTGTAAGATGACCACTTAGACACCTAACCCTGAACTGTACCCCACATCTTTAGTATAAAGATAATATTTAAAAAATTCCAGTCTTTTGGGGCCCCTCCTTGTGTTTAATGTATATGATAATAACATCTTAAAAATTGCTAATTTAGTTCTATGCAAATGTTGATATATTAAGTCCTTGTACAAACCCTCTAAGAGCATGTCCCATTATTTTTCCCACTTTTTCTTGGAGAAGCTAGGGACTGAGGCATGAGACAACCTGTCCAAGTTCAGCAAGGTTAAGGGGCAGAACCAAAGACCTACATGGGGCTTCTGACTTCGTGTTCTGAACCCTGGGACAGGCTGAAGCTCACTGTGCTGGGAGCCTTCTGTCCTGTCAGAGGGAGTGGGTACTCTGCCAAAGTGCACAATTTTAATGTGTACAGAGTTTTACTTTTCTATTTGTTTTCACGTTTAATTTCTTCTAGGAATCAGCTTCCTAACACCATACTCTTTATCTTTGCCTTATTCTGTTACATCATGACTAAATTTTTCTGCTATTCACGTGGGTCTCTCTCTCTCTCTCTCTCTTCTCTTTGGTTGTTTTAAAGATGTTATTCCAATGCTTTTTCTAGTAAAATCATGTTTGTTTGACTTAGACCCCAAGGCAGACTGGTGGGTAAATGTGCTCTTTTGCAAAGGGTGGACAACTGGGTCTTAGTGAGAGAGAAAAATTTAAACAAATCAGTAAGAAAATACCAAGTATTCCCATTAAAAAGTGGGCAAATTACATGAATAGCCTTCTCTCAAGAGAAGGTATACAAATGGACAGCAAACATATAGGAGGTCCAACAATTAAGTTAACAAACTCATCCTAGAAAAAGTGCTACATACGTGATTGCTGAATATCACTATAGTCACCTTCAAAGTACTCCCCTTGGGAAGTTACGCACCAATACCAGTGCCTAGTCCACCTCACAAAGCAATTTTGGAACTCTTCTTCTGGAATGGCCATCAGAGCTGCTCTCATATTATTCTTGATGTCTTGAATGTCATTAAAATATCTTTCAATATTTCCTTTATGTTTGGGTAAAGAAAAAAGTCACTGGGGGACTGATCAGATGAGTAAGGAGGTGTTTCAATACAGTTATCTATTTACTGACTAAAAACTCTCTCATATACAGTGCTGTGTGAGCTGGTGCATTGTTGTGATGCAAGAGCCATGAGTTGTTGGCAAGAAGTTTGTGTCGTGTCCATCTAACTTTTTCATGCAGCCTTTTCAGTACTTCCAAGTAGTAAACTTGGTTGATCGTTCAGTTGGTACAAATTCATAATGAACAATCCCTTTGATATAAGAAAAGATTAGTAACATTGTTTGGACTCTTGATTTGGGCTGACAGAAATTTTTGCCATGTTTTTGTCAGTTCTACTCATCACGGGCTGTCTTTACCTCTCTTCATCAATGATGTTTTCTCTCCCCTCAGAGAAAAGAGTTAATCCATTTTTACACTGCTGTTTTCTTTATGTCATTAGCCATATAGACTTGAAATAGCATGTCCCTGATTTCATTCCCATTCTTGCCGAGTTTAACAATAAATTTAATGTTTGTTCATTGCTGTCATTCAAGCTCTGACATTCTAGCAATGGCACACAAAAACATGCAACAACAATAATGAATGCCACTCAGCAAGACACCGCCATGTCGACACCAACACAACTGTGAGACACTGATATGCCAAGGTTATGAAACCTTACCAAGTTGTTTGTAAAGTGTTACCAATGTAAGCACCTGGTGGCAAGTTCATGAACTTAACTGTCACACCTTCACAACATGCTTCACCTCACGAATCATCAACTAAATGCAAATTAAAATCATGATGAATTACCACCTTACTCTAGTCAGAGTGGTCATTATTAAAAAGTAAAAATACACTGGGCATGATGGCTCAAGCCTGTAATCCCAGCACTTTGGGAGGCCAAGGCGAGAGTATTGGGTGAGCTCAGGGGTTTGAAACAAGCCTGGACAACTTGGTGAGATCTCGTCTCTATAATAAATCAAAAAATTAGCCAGGCATGGTAGCATGCACTTGTAGTTCCAACTACTTGGAAGGCTGAGGCAGAAGGCTTGCCTGAGCCCAGCAGGTCGAGGTTGCAATGGTTGTGAACATGCCACTGCATTACAGTCTGAGT